GCCTGCGCGTCCGGAGCCTGTGCTCTGCATCGGGAGAGGCCACAACAGTGAGAGGCCCGCGTACCGCAAAAAAAAAAACAAAAAACAAGGATTTGGTAAGAGACACTGTTTGGTTGGGTTGGCTATTAAACAACAAGAAAGGAAATTATGTGTTTCGGCAGCTAGTTTATAAACAGTTTGCTTTTCTGTAGTGGAAAATATTGACCACTCATGAAGCAAATGTGAAACCTATCCCACAGGCCTCTCTACCAGTTTAAAATGGGGCCAGCTGTGGCCGGTGTGGACAGAATGGCCACTGGCTGCGGGGTGTGCTCCCCTTTCTTGGCTCCTGGGTACCACAGGTGGGTTGGCCATAGGACCTGCAGGTTTGGTTCTGATGGGTCACCTAGACTTAAGACATTGCTATCTCATGACCCTGGGTATCATTTAAGCCCTAGTTTTAGGACATTGCTATCTCATGACCACATCCAAGAGGGCCAATTCATATCTGGCCACAGAAAAACACCTATTACTGAACTTCAAATGGGACTTGGCAGTCATCACAGTCTCCCACTGATATGGAAATTGTGCCAAATACCTTAGTGCTGAGAAAGCAAAAGATCACCCAAACCCTTGTGGGCAAGACGTATGCATTTGAAGAATCTGGATAGCCAGTTAAAACTCTTTGTGAAATGCTATTAAACGTTTTAAAAATAGCTAGTAATCAGTAATGTAAAATTTTTACATTCCAAATGTCCAACTTGTCATTCAAGATAGACAAATTTAAGAACACATCAAAAAGAAAAGAAACATTTGGTTGGTATTAATTTATACTTTAGCCTTTTCTGTGTTATGCCATTTAAGATAGCAGTAACTTCTAATTAACATTTTATAATGTTCAAAACGTCTCATTTCTTAAGTGTTCCTTTCCCCTCGCCTCATAAAACTACAAACACCTAGACCAAAGAAGAGTCCAGGATCATTTTTTTCATATACTATAGGTATAGAGATTGAGATCAGTTAAAACCCTAATAGCTAAAGATGTTAAAAAAAAACAACCCTAACAGCATTCATTTTTAATAAACTGGCTGTGCCAGTTGTCATGGCAACCTAATCCTTATAAATACAATAACAAGAAAGTAAATGTGAAGTTCTAAAAATAGCCATTTCCTTGGAAAACAGGAGAATGGCTGGGCCAAATAACTAAAATACAAAGTAAAAAGCTAGTTATTTCAGGAATTTTAAAGTCAGCTTTATGGCATCTGAAAAGGTATGGACATACTATATGTAACCATTTGGTAATCACCGTTGTTATAGCTAATCCTTACAATGCAAAAACAGACCTTATTTTTTGTAATTACAGTCTTTTTCACCAACCCTCCCCACCAAAATTACTAGTTCATCACCAGTCTTCTAGCAATTTCCACCAGTGACAAGTGTACAGGGGCCTAATCAGGCTGGTTCCTGAGGCCACGCATGTCTATGGTGTTTGCACCTTCTCTCTCTACATAATATGGCTGCATCACTAAAACTCAAAGACTATCCCCCTCGCCTCACCCCCTACTCTGTCCCTCCAAAAGCTTCAACAAAACAGAAACATAGTGGCAGGATGACATGGATACACACCTTTATAGAAAAGAACCACGATCTTCTGAAAGGCTTTCATGAAATGGATGTTGTCATAACAGTACTCTTGCACCTTCTGGAGGAGGATCAGCTCTGACTGGCCTTGGGAGCTGAACACAGCCAGGAGTGGAGCGTATTGCTGGAACAGAAGTGGGGAGTAAAACCATTTACTCTCGTGAGAGGTGCAGGGCTGACACCACTTGAATCATAACAATAATCTGGAGGTTTGCCTAGAAAATCTTCACTTTGAGGATTACCTTATTCTAATATTGTGACCAATCAAAATGAATTTTTTATCCCTGCACCTTATCAGATTTCTCTCACTGTACCCACTAAAAGAAACCAAATATGAAATTCTGACTATATTAAAGATAACTCCTATGCTACTGTGTCTGTCTAATGGGTCCTGTGAAAATAAGACAGAGTTCCTAAGTTCCAAAGGTTCCCAGGGCTGCTGTGACCCCTCCATCACTGAAGTGTGGCTCTGCCACTGGAAGAGTGGGCGTCTCCTTCCTAAACATCCGACCCCCCACATGTCATCTTTATGGTTTTGTTCATACTGTTCCCTTCGTCCCAAATGACCTTGGCTTCCAGTTGTTGATGTTTGGCTATTGTTTTCTCTAAGACCTACTCAGCTCGACACTTAACTCCTTCTCTGAGCCTTCCCTGGTCAACTTAACCTGCATAGGCTACTCACTGCTCTGTCCTCCTAAATACTGAGAGTTATCTGAATTTACATCCTACCTAGTTTAAACTAGGTACCTGTTGATTTCCCAATTCAAGTGTAAACTCTGAAGCCAGGCTCTAAGTCTTCCACGTGTCTTAAGACACTTTTATAGGGAGAGGACAATAAAAGCAAAAACATATGTATCTCCCCACAAAAATATACAATTTACACAATCGGTTGATTTCTTCCACCACTCAGTTTTCAAATTCTAATGTCAGCTTGTAGTTTACTTAAAAAATACTCATTAAGAATTTTTATCATGTAGAAGGAGAACCAATAGTTCGACTATATTTCCCTTTAAATATTGAATATATGACTATTCTGTGGATTTTCTGACATTGTTTTTAGTAAGAACTTACCCTTAGGTATTTCATAAGCTCTTACATCTGAAACATTTTAGGTAGTGGAAAATTTGAAAAAAAAAAACACTAGGAAGTACGTGTTTGGACTGAGTGTGGGCGAATTATGATTAGAACCCATCTATCACATTGTTAAGAGCTGCAGTTGGCCTGCAGCCGAGACTGTGCCTTGTTGGGACCCGGTACCTTCAGATGCTTGAGGGCTTGCTCGGCAACGAGCTCTTCCTTCTTGTTCCATTCCACAGCGTTCATTATACAGGTCCACAGCAGTCCAATCACTGCTGTTTCTGGAAGATCATTCCTCTTCATTTCTTCTTTAACATAGAGCACCACCTAAATTTCACAAAAAAAGCAGTCAGAGAGTAACAGACAGATGGGGAGTTCCCCTCTCACTGTGCCCGATCAGTAAAAGGTTAGGGGCCGACAAATATTCTGCTCAGTTCCTCCCTTCCTGGCATATACTCTCAAGTTACGAGAGGCAGGAAAAACACAATGATTTGTTCTCAAAGCAGATTTATTTTTAGTCCCAAAATTAATAGGCTTATCTCTGGCCAGGAGGTGCTGGATAATTGAAAATAAAAAAAGAGAATCGTGGTTTCTTAGGGGCTATTCTTTTCCAGGCAGGAACCCCTTTGAGTAAAGCAGGGCAAAGATTATTTAAGCCAGTTTGACTTTCTGGGGTTTGAAGAAGGCAACAGAGCTGTGAATTTTTACTTCCGATCCTTAACTTTAAACCTCTTGAAAAATGTCTTGGGCTTGTACAAGGCATTCTCTGCAATTCATTCTTTAATTATCGCTTTTGATGATCCTCATGCCTCATGTAAATAAACTGTAAAGTCCAAAGACTTTACATATGATACATATCAAAGCAGCAACCCTCAGCAGGCTACTTGCCCTTCAGAATTACTTTTAAATATGCAAATGTATCCTAAAACCTGATCGTATGGAATGAAATCTGCCTAACAGTGTATCTTATATTAAACTTGTTTGGAAAAATCTTTCTCCTTTCGAATAGAATCACAAATAGAGGTGAGGGCCTCAGAAGTGATTAAAAACCATAATATCAATATATCTCACACGTACTACTTTGTGAGGAGTACAGCTATTTTTCTCCCTTCCTTTTTTTTAATGAAAATACGTTGCTTTCTTTCCTGCTGGCCTGGGGTACAGAGGGGTCAGCTGTGGGTTAAGCAGCCTTTGAGAACCGAAGGAACTGGGAAGTCCTAGTCCCCCAGCTGGGCTGGGGAAAGCTGCAAAGAAAGGTGACATCTCTGCACCTAAAGGTATCGCAGTGTTATTTGGTTTGCTTTTTCTTCCCCAAGTTAAATCATATTCAAGTTCTTTGCTTGGAGAAAGATTACTGAATATATTGCTGACTTTAATGCCATGAGACTTAGGACCAACACCTCCACCTGCTGGACAGCATCAGTCTGGAATTCTCCAGCCTTAAACCGCAAAAGGTACCTTGCAAGGCTGTGAGCACGCAGGATAGTGAGGCTTTGGGACTTGGGAGTAAGTGGCAAAAGGAGAGGACTCTATGCAGTTTTTGAATTACCATGTAAAAGTTCTTAAAGTTCAAATAGGAAGTTTTCTTCTGGCAGGACTTAAAAAAAAAAAGATACAATCATAGCCGTATGAAAGATAGCTATACAAAAAGGTAGTATTTATGTTATGTGAATACGCAACTATTTTGAGTGGGATCCAATGAGCCACTGGTCCAACTGGTCTTTACCCATGATATGAATGCAAAATCACCCCTTTTTTATCTTAAAATTAAAACCTATATATATTAACCCAATACTTAACCATATTATGTAATCTGCAATAAAATGGGAAAACCACCATAAATCGAGGTATACTGCTAGTGGAGAGTAAATCTATTCAACACATGAAACATTTTGACAACCAGAGCAACCTGGTAAATTAGTCACTTGTGTGGAAATACTCATTATTTTCTGGAACATCCTGGAGGAGTCTGAATCAATACTTTGAAATCGAGCTCATTTAAATGGTATGAAAAGGGCCTCAAGTTCACAGCAATAAACAAAGGGAGGTCTCCTTAAGGGAGGTAAAGCTTGTGCTGCACAGGCTACATCATCCCTCTCGCTAAAAGGGTTTGCAGTGATGTCAGTCCATGGTCCCCACCTCCTTGATCGGGCATTC